AGCAGCAGCAGCAGCAGTGTTGGCCGCGCGTTGCGTTGGTGGAGGCGCGGCGTTGCTGCTGCGTCTGGGCGGCTTGTCCGTGTGCGCCTCGTCGGCGCTGCTGCTGCTGCTGGTGGTGCTGCTGCTGCTGTCCGCGCCGCTGCCGCTGGAGTCGGCGCCGGAGGGCTGGCTGCTGCTGTCGCTGTCGCTTCTGCTGCTGCTGCTGCTGCTGGGGCTGCGGCTGCTGCTGCTGGCGGCGGGTGCGCGGCGGAGGGGCGGGCGGTCGCGGGGGCGCTTGCGGGGGGGCGGGCTGCGGCGCTGCTGCTGCTGCTGCTGCTGCTGCAGCAGCAACTCGTCGCCGACAGCCTCGAGGCCCTTGTGCGTCTTCTTCAGCAGCAAATCGGGCCCCACAGTTTCCGTCAGCAGCACGGCCCGCCGGAAGTGCCGCTCCCGCTCCGCTCGCCGCTGCTGCTGCACTGCAGCAGGAGCCAACGTGTCTGCATCTGCTGCCAGCAAAGAAGACAAACTCATTTCGCCCAGCAGCACTTTGCGCCGCAGCTCTTTGCTGTTGGCTCTGCGCAGGTTGGCCAGCAGCTCGTAGAGCCGCTGCTGCCGCAGCCGCGGGGCCCACGACCCGCAGCAGCCCCAGAACGCTGCATGCACTGCAGCAGCAAACGCAGCAGCAGACGCGTACTTCACCTGCTCCCTCCCGCCTCCCCCCGCCCCCTGCTGCTGCTGCTGCTGCTGCTGCTGCTGCTGCTGCTCGGGGTCGCCCGCCCCCGCGGCCGCTGCGCTGCGCGCGCCCTGCTGCGCAGGCGAGCTCGCGCCCTCGGAGGTCCCGCCGGCCGACCCGCTGCTGCTGCTGCTGCTGCTGCTGCTGCTGCTGCTGCTGCTGCTGCTGCTGCCCGTGGGCGTGCTCGGCGAGGGGCTCGTCGCGCCCGCAGCAGCAGCAGCGCCGCGGGAGGCGTCCGCTGCTGCGTCCGCCTCCTGCTGCTGCTGCTGCTGCTGCTGCTGCAGCGGCTGCAGCTCACTCAGCCCCAAGTAATAAATCTCCTCCAGCTTCTTCAGCCGCCGCGAGGCCCCCTGCTGCCAGTCCCGCTGCCGCACGAGCGTCCCCAGCAGCGGCGGCGGGCTTTGCTGCTGCTGCTGCTGCTGCTGCTGCTGCAAGTGCTGCCGCTTGCGGTGGCTCCCCGCAGCTGCAGCAGCGCGCGGCGCCCCCCCGCTCCGCTTCACTGCTGCTGCTGCTGCTGCTGCTGCTGCTTTTGCTGCGTCGTCTCGGGGAGACAGCGGCGTCCGTTTGACGGCAGCGCTGCCGGGCTGCTTCGCCTTCGCCGCTTTGATGATGCTGCTGCTGCTGCTGCTGCTGCTGCTGCTGCTGCTGCGTGCTGCTGCTGCTGCTGCTGCTGGGGGGGAAGGGGAAGGCCGTGCGGGCGAGCCACTGCGGCAGCGTGTCCATCTGCACTTTTCCTTTTATGGAAGCTACTGGATTGACATCAAAGAAGTTGAGAGCTGGCAGCACTTCGAACTGGCTGTACACCTCAAGAGGCAAGTCGGGGCAGCACTCCTCCTGCAGGTCCAGCGGGTCCCAGGCCCAGCGACACACGATCTTCCCTGCTGCTGCTGCTGCTGCTGCTGCTGCTGCTGCTGCTGCGGGGCCCGCAGCAGCAGCAGGAGGCACGTAGGCTATTATCTGCGCTATCCAGTCTTTGCTGCTTTGACTCTTCAAACGGACCCACTCATTTTCTCTGTAGGCTTCGCCCAGAAAGTAAAAGAGGGGGGGGGAGTGGGGGTCCACGGGGCGGGGCAGCGCTGCTGCTGCTGCTGCCCACTCCTCCTCCTGCTGCTGCTGCAGCAGCAGCTGCTGCTGCTGGCTCGGCGACACGGACGCGCTCCCGCTGCTGCTGTTCCCGCAGCCCGCGCTGCTGCTGCTGCTGCTGCACAGCCACGCAGCAGCTTCCCCTGCAGGCCCCCCCGCAGCCACGCCCCCACCTGCCTGCGGCGACGGGGGCCCCAAATAGGGGGCCCCCTCAGCTCGAGGAAAGTCCCGCTGCTGCTGCATCTCTTGTCAGGTCGCAGCTCTCATCACCACCCAGCAGCAGCAGCAGCAGCAGCAGCACGGGCGGCGGAAGCGGCAGCGGAAGCGGCAGCAAGTTCAGCATGCGCATGCATCCCTGCGGGGCTCCTCTGAACTGTCTTTGTCTCTAGAAAAAGTGGAAGGCTCATCTAAAACTGTAAAGCGGAGCCCCTGCAGCAGCGGCCACGCCGCTGCAGCCAGCTGCGCTTGTGGCTGCTGCGGCTGCTGCGGTGCTGCGCCTGCTGCAGCAACAGCAGCAGCAACAACAGCACGCTCTTCTAAATGAAAAAACTGAGCAAACAATTCAAAACAGATTAATTCAAAACCCCCGCAGACTCCGCCAGCCAAGAAACCATCAGCGCCGTCAGCTGCATGCACAGTCATGTGGGGCTGGCCCAGCCGGGGTCCCAGCTACTCACCTGAGAGCAGAAAGAGAAAGTTGAAATAAAAGGCAAATTGAACAGTTACAAAAGATTCATTAAATACTTTAATTTTAATTTCGAAACCAGCGTGCAAAGCGCTACACAGCTCCCTTTCAAGTGCTGCTGGCAGTTTTGTTGCAGGGGTTACAGGCCCTGCAGCACCAGGTCCATTCGTACAAGGAGCAGCAGCAGCAGCAGCAGCAGCAGCAGCAGCTCAGTGCGCGAGAGGCGCTTCAAATATAAAACCCTTAAATTATTTACAACACAATTTGCTGCAATTGAGAGCTTCTTAGGGTGACAGGCTGCACCCCTCTTGCCCGCTGGCCTCCACACACAGCAGCCACACAGCAGGTGTAGTCTGTCCCGGAAGCTCTTATAGTTGGAATTTGGGGCCTTTAGAGGTCCCTAGAAGTAGCAAATGATATATTTGACAACAAATGCCTCAAATATATTCCTAGAGTTGCTCCAGGGGCCCCACAGAGTCCTCCGGAATCTACCACGGGGCGAATGTGGGGCACCCGAGAAGCAGCAAGACAGTGCAGCAGCAAAACCTGAAGCAGCACAAAGCCCTAGGCACTACGCACTAGCTAGCAGAGGCCAGCAGCAGCGCAGCAGCAGCCCAGCAGGTGCTGCGAATTCGCGAATTGTCTTTAAGGGGGCCCAGTTTAATTAAGACTAGTTTCTCTTAAGCAGTGTGCGGCTGTCTCGCAGCAGCGGCAGCAGCAGCGGCAGCAGCAGCAGCAGCAGCAGCAGCAGCTGGAAGTTAGCTGCCAAAGGCTCTGCAGCACTTGGGCCAAAATCGCTGCGCCCCACGGGCTTGCCCCCACAGGCAGTAGGGGCCCTTCAGATTTGTTGGTTTTTTAGCCAGAGTCAGGCTTGTGGGACTCGTTTGCTAGCTAGCTGTTTGAGGCTTGTTGGCTAGCTAGCTAGCTGCTTGAGGCTTGTTGGCTAGCTAGCTGCTTATGGTTTGTTGGCTAGCTAGCTGTTTGAGTTTTGTTGGCTAGCTAGCTGTTTGAGTCTTGTTGGCTAGCTAGCTGTTTGAGTTTTGCTGGATAGCTAGCTGCTTGAGGTTTGGTTTGTTGGCTAGCTAGCTGGCTACTTGAGGCTAGTTGGCTAGCTAGCAGCTTGAGGCTTGTTCGCTAGCCATGCCTGTTTCAGGGGTGCTGCCTAGCTAGCTACCTGGATCCTTTTGGCTGCCTGGCTAGCCAGCTACTCGCAGCTCTTTGGCTAGCTGGCTGTGTGAGGCCCGTTGGCTAGCTGCAGTTTGAGGCTGGCTAGCTAGCGGGCAGCTTGAGCCTTGGCTAGCTGGCAGGTTGAGCTTTGGCTAGCTGGCGGTTCTTCTGTTTTTGTTTCTTGACTTCCTGTGAGGGGCAGCTAGCTGCATGCGCTTTTGGGGCTTTCCACTTATTTGCTTCTTTTTTATTTCTCTGCTGCTCATTTGTTCCGCAGCAGCCCTGCGCTGCCATTCCTTCTGCCTTAAGTTACCTGCAGCTTGCCTCCAGCCGCTGCTGCTGCAGCAGCTGCAGCAGCAGCTGCTGCTGCTGCTGCAGCTGCTGCCACAGCTGAGCATGCGGTGGAGGCAGCAAGTGCTGCCTGCTTTACTCTGTGGGGTTTTTGAGCCAGCCTCGTTGCAGTGTCTGTACACCTGAACTGTAGACCCTTGGGATCGTGCGTTCCCAGTCGGCTTCACGTTGCGCTGCTGCTGCAGCTTCGCGCTGCTGCTGCAGCTTCGCGCTGCTGCTGCTTCTGTCTAGCATTCTTCAGCCCTTGGCTTTCCTGCTGCAGCTCTCTTTCTTTTTGCTGCTGAGCTCTGCGGGCCTTTCTTTGTCTCTGCCTCAAAAGAGCTATTTGTAAACTTCCTTGCTGCTTCTGTCTTCTGTTTGTTTCTGGGTTAGCTCTGGGGGCCACTCGGCCAGCAGCAGCGCTGCAGCAGCACTGCAGCAGCGCTGCAGCAGCACTGCAGCAGCGCTGCAGCAGCAATGACTGGCCTTTGCTTTATCCTGGGTTTGGCTTAAAGCCTTCCAGGTTTCTGTTGGTCTCGCTAAAGACCTTTTGCTGCTAAAGTTTTTTTTCCTTTCGCCCCAGCCTCGCTGCTGCTCCCTCAGCTAGCCTTTGTGTCTGTAGCAGCTAGCTGCTTCGCAGCAGCTAGCTGCTCCACAGCAGCTAGCGGCTTCACAGCAGCTAGCTGCTTCGCAGCAGCTAGCTGCTCCACAGCAGCTAGCCGCTTCACAGGAGCTAGCTGCTTCACAGGAGCTAGCTGTTTCGCAGCAGCTAGCTGCTCCACAGCAGCTAGCCGCTTCACAGGAGCTAGCTGCTTCACAGTAGCTAGCTGCTTCACAGGCAGCTAGCTGCTTCGCAGCAGCTAGCTGCATCGCAGCAGCTAGCTGCCTCGCAGCAGCAAGCTGCCCCGCAGCAGCTAGCTGCCTCGCAGCAGCAAGCTGCCCCGCAGCAGCTAGCTGCCTCGCAGCAGCTAGCTGCTCCACAGCAGCTAGCTAACCTGCTGGCCTGCTGCTGCGGGATTTTCGAGCTTTTTGCTTTTCTGTCTTCGCTAATTCCTATTGGCTAGCTGCGCCCTAAAGCGGCAGCTAGCTGGGGGGCCTTATTCGAGTTGTTTGCTTCAGTGCAGCAGCAGCAAAACTCCGAGAGAGCAAAACTAAGAAGACCAAAGTGCTGTTTTCAAACTACTGCGTTTTTTAAAAAGATTTCCAATTAATTTCCTTCTACAAAACAGCCTGCTGGGCAGCAGTCTGCAGCGCCAGGTGTACGTACAGCTCTTTGGCCCGCTACTCGCGGAAGTCCGGGTCTTGCTGCTGCTGCTGCTGCTGCTGCTGCTGCTGCTGCGAGTGAGGCGCAGCAGCTTGGCTCTGCGAGCTGGCAGCAAATGCTGCAGCAGTTTCCTCCGCGTGCCGAATCACCTCCAGCGCATGCGTCACTGCTGCTTCTTCCGCGCGCAGCCAAACATGAGCCACAAAAACCTCAACAGCAGCAGCAGCAGCAGCTGCTGCAGCAGGGCTTCCCTCTGGGTCGGACAATATTTCGACTTCCTCCGACTCGTCGTCCCCCAGCACCACCTCCGCCGGCTCCGCTGCTGCTGCTGCTGCTGCTGCTGCTGCTGCTGCTGTCGAAGTGGTGGAAGCTCCGGCAGGCGAGGACGTGCCCGAGGTGCTGCGCTGACGCTTCCGCCGAGGGGCAGCAACCTCCTCCCCAACCACCAAGACATCATCTCCATCCTGCTGCTGCTGCTGCTGCTGCCGCTGCTTCTGCTGCTGCTGCTGCCGGCCCGGCTGAGGGCTATTGCTTCGGCGGCTCGCTGCGCTCGCCTCCAGGGCGGGGCTGAGGGCCCCCGACCTAACCTCAAATACTTTCAAAGAGTCCTCTGACCCTTCATCCGCTCCCTGCTGCTGCTGCTGCTGCTGCTGCTGCTGCTGCTCGTTCTGCTGCTGGCCCTGCTGCCTGGAGAGGCCACTCTGTGCTGCGTTCGCCTCCCCAGCCTTCTCAGCCCCGTTTGTTGCAGTCTTTGCTGCTGCTGCTGCTGCCGTTGCTGCTTTCTTGAGCTTGCTGGAGATGCGCAGCCTGTTCATTTCCTGCAGAAAGTCCTCCAGCTGTTCTCTGAGCAAGAGCAGCAGCAGCAGCAGCAAAGCAGCTGCTGCAGTCCGCTGCTTCTCTTGGGCGCTGCAAAAGCAGCCAGAGCCGCGCCAGCTCACGTAGCTGGGCCAGAACACGGAAGCAAAACAGCAGCAGCAGCAGCAGCAACAGCAGCAGCAGCAACTGACCTAGTAGCTCTGAGGGCAATGAAAACAATATCTTTGGAGGGGTCTCTGAGCTGCAGCAGCAGGCCAGCAGCAAGAAGCCTCCGCTTTGTCCACTGCCAGTGCTGCAGCAGCCGCTTGCCCATGTCGAAGCGGGACATGAATTCTTCTTGGGGCATCAGGACGCAGTCGTACCTGAGCAGCAGCAGCAGCAGCAGCAGCAGCAGCAGCAAAGAATGCCACAGCAGCAGCCGGTCTTAGCGTTGCCACAGCAGCTAGCTCCTTTACAGTCATCTTCGCCGCAGCCTCGCAGCTTCAAGCAGCAGAGTTCAGCAGAACCCTGAAGCAGCACACGCCGCCTCTAGCTGCCGATGCAGCAGCAGCAACAGCAACAGCAGCAGCAGCAGCAGCAGCAGCAGCAGCAGCAGACCCGATGAGCCGGCTCAGCTGCCACTCCGCCAAAGTCTCCAACAGCCTTCTGCTCATTCCAAACTTCACTTCCGGAGTCAAACAGCGGCGGACCAGCGCAGCACTGAAAGGCACTGGCGACCACCTGCAGCAAACACGCAGACGCAAAGGCCACCTGCTGCTGCTGCTGCTGCAGCTGCTGCTGCTGCTGCTGCTGCTTTGGGGTGACACCGCCAGCTCCGCAAGGCGACGAGCAGCCCGCAAGGCCTCGTCTCTGGCCAAGATCAAACTTTCCCGCAGAGACCCGAGCCGCCTCACAGACTCATTGTATCTGCAGCAGCAGCAGCAGCAGCAGCAGCAGCAGCAGCAGCAGTGGGCACTGTGCAGCGGCAAATGCAACGCCAGCGGCCCTCCAGCATTCTTGAGTGCTGCTGCAGAAGAGAAAACTGAATCAGCAGCAGCAGCAGCAGCAGCAGCAGCGGAGGAAGCACCTGTCCCTCAAGACGTCCATCTTCTTCCGAAGGTCTCCCCCAAGATCCGACAGGGAACTCTAAAGCAGCAGCAGCAGCAGCAGCAGCAGCAGCAGCAGCAGCAACAATAGCGGCCGAAGCACAGAGTAAAACCCCTCGTCGCTCGAGTCTAATTTGCTGCAGCACTTTGCTGCCGCTGTTTTCTGCAGCTGCAGCTTTAGAGTGAGTCAGCATAGCGTCTAAAGGCAGCAGCAGCAGCAGCAGCAGCAGCAGCGACAGCAGCAGCAGCAGCTGCTGCTGCTGCTCCCTCCTTGCTGTTGTCTCACCCAAGGCTCCCAGGTGCTCTCGTCGTCAGCATAGTCGAGCCATAAGACAAAAAACTTCTCCTGAAGGCGCATACACACGCTCAACTGCTGCTGCTGCAGCTGCTGCTGCTGTTGCTGCTGCTGCTGCTGCTGCTGCTGTGGGTTGCAGTGCGAGCAGCAACAAACCCAACCGAGGGAAACACCCCAGCAGCCCGTGCGGGCGGCCCTATGGCAGCTGGTCACGCATTGTACAGGACTTGTTGCTGTTGCTGCTTCTGCTGCTGCCGCTGCTGCTGCTGCTGCTGCTCTGCTGCTGCTGCTGCTCTGCTGCTGCGTGTGCTGCTCGCGCACCACCTTGTTGTCGATTCGGTAGCCCCGAATGTCTCGCACTTGGTAAGTTGTGTCTTTGCTGCTGCGGGCTTTAGCCCCAGACTTGTTTGCCTGCTTCTTGCTGGAGGGCATGGCTGCTTGTGCAGCTGCTGCTGCCCTTGCTGCGGCCGCTGCTGCAGTTGCTGCTGCTGTCCTTGCTGATTTTGTTGCTGCACCTGGTGCTGCTGCAGTTGGTTCTTTTGCCGTTGCTGCTGCTGCTGCAGCTGCTGCAGCTGTTGCTCCTGCGGCGGTTGTCCACTGCCGCAAGTGCCCTCCGAGGCTCCCCAGATTACAGTGTGGGGTGCTGTTGCTGCAGCAGCTGCTGCTGCTAACGACTTTGTTGCTGTGGCTCCAGATTGGCTGGTATCAGGAGATCTGGGGCTTCATCGGCTGTGCAGCAGCAGCAGCACCGACCAGCAATGGCTGGTGTCTTTGTTGCTGATGCGGCTGCTGCTGCTGCTCCTGCTGCTGTTTCTGCTTTCGCGCTTAGCACTTGTAAAGCTTTTTGGTCCCTCATCTGCTGCTCTTAGCAGCAACAGGCAAAAAGTGCTAACGCGGGGCCGCCTCACCCCCCTCAGCTGCTGCTGCTGCACTCCGCAGCAGCAGGAGTAGCAGCAACTCAAGTGTATGTCCACCTTTTGGCTTGAGTGACTCACTCTAGAGGAAGCAACTAAAAGAGAATGTGGGGAACGATCCCAACTCCGAGTCGCAGCCCCACGAAACACAACACCACCGAAGACGACCGCTGCAGCAACAGCTGCTGCTGCTGCTGCGCTGCTGCTGCTGCGCTGCCGCACGTCACTGGAGCAGTATCAAGGAAGCAGCAGTAGTGTCCGCCTCCTAACACATCCCTTCACTCGGATTACTTTTTCATATTACTTTTTTGCGGCTTTGCGACGCTTAGGGTCTTTAAAGTGCGCACAGACTGCAGCTGCTGCTGCTGCCGCTGCAGTGACCATACGCTGGCCGTACTAGTTGCAGCAGCAGCAGCGACAGCAGCAACAGCGCTCTGCCGTTCAGCAGGAAGCGAAGCTGCTGCTGCGCTGCGTTCCCTCCAGAGGCAATTCAATAAAAAAGGTCTTCAGGGATTTCGGTGAAGAGCCCAAGCATATGCGTTGTTGCTGCAGCAACTCTTGCTGTAGTGACAGCAGCAGCAACAGCAGCAGCCGCTTCTACTGGAACAGCAGCACGGGGAGCTGGGGTGTCTGAGCCGCCGCATGCCTCAGGGCTGCACTCTCCCCTTTGTCTGGCCTTCTGTTTTGCGAGGCAGCAACAAGCTGCCACAGCAGCAGCAGCACGCGTGCCAGCAGCAACAGCCGTGGCAGCAGCAGGAGAAGGTTCCCGTGGCATCATTTGAACTCTCGCGAGGTCCGTTTCGCAGCTGCAGCGGCGCAGCAATTGTTGCTGGAGTCTGGACAGCCTTTCTGCAGCAGCAGCGGCATTGCTGCGGGAGCAGCAGCAGCAGCAGCAGCTGCAGCGCAGCAGCAAACTTGAACCATCGTCGCCCGAAGAATACAAGGGAAGATGGAAGACTTGGCACAGAATCTGTCTAAAGAGGAGCAGCAGACAGCACAGCAGCAGCAGCCAGTGCAGCAGCAGCCACAAAGAGAAGACGCGCTCCGGCAGCAGGCAGGCGGCGAGCAGCGACCACAGAAGGAGCAGCAGCAGCTGCAGCAGCAGCAGCAGCAGCAGCTGACAGCAGCAGACCTTTCCTCTGTCTCACAGGCACTCGAGACGGCGGGATCGTGCACAAACAGCAGCCACAGCAGCAGCAGCAACAGCAGCAGCAGCAATGCCAACAGCAGCAGCAGCAACAACACCAGCAGCAAGGGCGCTGAGGAGCAGCAAGATGAGGAGGATGAAGAGGAGGACACTTCTTTTACGTTGACTGTACAGACGCTTGAGAGGAGGCAGCTGAGGGTTACTGCATTTCCAGGTGCTGCTGCTGCTGCTGCTGCTGCTGCTCCTGCCGCTGCTTCCGTTGGCGGCGCTGCTGCTTCTTCTGCTGCGCTTGCTGCTGCTGCTGCTGCAGCTGCGTCGGCTGCTGCTGCCGTGGCACTGCTGCTGCCTCTGTCGCTGCTGTGCCTCAAACGGCTGCTGCTGCGCTGCTGCGCTGCTGCATGCGCTTTTGCTGCTGAAGCTAGAAGGAATAAGGCGAAAGGTGCACCTTTGGCCCTCCGTCTTTGCTGCATCTGCTTCTGCTGCTGCTGCTGCTGCTGCTGCTGCTGCTGCTCCAGACTGGACTGCACTGCAGCTAAAGGAAGCCCTAGCGCCGCAAGTGCGCTACCCGCCAGGGGAGCAGCGGCTTGTCGTTAGAGGTCATGTGCTGAGGGTGAGGCTGCTGCTTGCTGCTGCTGCTGCTGCTTGCTGCTGCTGCTGCTGCTGCTGTTGCTGCTGTTGCTGTTGCTGTCGGGCGGGGTATGGTGGACTGGGGAGAACTGGGGGGGCTGCTCCCGCGAGGGACGCGCCAGCTGCTGCTGCTGCAGTGCTGCAGCAGAGCAGTTCCTCTTTCAAGCTGCTGCAGCAACCGGAGTTGTAGCAGCAATTGCTGCTGCTGCTGCTGCATGCGTGGAGCAGAAGCAACGGCAGCAGCACGATTGGCAGCAGCCCTCAGCAGCAATTCGACGCTGCAGCGGCTTCGGCAGCAAGGGCAGCGGCCGCCACTGCAGCTGCGGCAACAAATGCAACGCAAACCTGCTGCTGCTGCTGCTGCTTCTGCTGCTGCTGCTGCTGCTGCTGCAGGATGAGGAAACACTGGAGTCCTTGGGGCTGCACAGCGAAGGGCCTGTTGTTCATCTTGTGCGGAATCCGCAGCGGCCAAGAAATGGTTCGTCAGTTTATTTGCATTAAAAGTTTTTGCTGCTTCTCAGAATGCCTGTCTTTGCTTCTCCCTCTTTGCAGCAGCAGCAGCAGCAGTTGCAGCAGCAGGTGTGTAGCAGCAGTGGTAGTGGCAGTTGCAGCAGCAGCAGTAGTAGTAGCAGCAGCAATAGTAGCAGTAGCAGCGGCAGCAGAGACGGCGGCAGCAGCAGCAGCAGCAGCAGCAGAGGGCTTTGGAAGGTGCTGCTTGTTGGCTGCTGTGCTGCAGCGGGTATCCCCGGGGGCGCAACAGCAGCAGCAGCAGCAGCAGCACTTTCGCCGCAGGAACTGATGATGGAGCAGCTAGCCAGATCTCCCCACATGCAGCAGCTGCTGGGCAACAGCGACTTGATGCAGGGGCTGCTGCAGTCGAGTCCGCTGCTGCAGGCGCTGCGGGAGCAAAACCCTGAAATCAACAGTTTGCTGTCAGACCCTCAGGCGAGCCCTAAACCCTAAACCCTCAGCAGCAAACCCTAAACCCTCAGCAGCAAACCCTAACCCTGCAGAAGCAACCTGCGCCGGGGCGCTGCAGCAACGCCCAAACCCCAGAGCAAGCAGCAACCCCAGGAGAGGCTCGGGGTTGGAGCGAGGCAGCAGGAATGGCGCGCTCTAGGGTTTAGGGTTTAGGGTTTAGGGTTTAGGGTTTAGGGTTTGGGGTTCGGGTGCTGCAGCTCTTTCGCTTGGGTATGGACGCCATGAGGAATCCTTCTTTGTTGAGAGAGATGATCCGAAACACTGACAGGGCTCTGGCAAACATCGAAGCCGTGCCGGGGGTAGCTCTTTTTGCTGCTGCTGCTGCTGCTGCTGCTGCTGCTGGCTTCGTGCGCAGCTTTGAGTGTGCTCAAAGCTGTGCGGGGGGCAGCTCTTGCTGCTGCTGCTGCTGGCTTTGCGTGCAGCTTTGAGCGTGCTCGAAGCTGTGAAGGGGGTAGCTCTTGCTGCTGCTGCTTTTGCTGCTGCAGTCTGCTGCGATTGCTGCTGCTGGCTTTGGGCAGCTTTGCGTGTGCTCGAAGCCGTGGGGTAGCTCCTGCTGCGACTTGTGCTGCTGCTGCTGCTGCTGCTGCTGGCTTTTGCTTATTTGAGTGCCGTGCGGCTAGAGTTACGGGGGCACCGATCGCGTTCGGGCAGCAGCACTTGCTGCTAGGGACAACTGCTGCTGCTGCTGCTGCTGCTGTGACTGCTGCTGCAGGGGTTCAACGCACTCACTCGCGTCTACCGCGGAGTCCAGGAGCCCATGCACGAAGCAGCAATGCAAATTGCTGCAGGGCTGCAGGGGGAGGGGGGGAGGGATGGGGCTCTTGGGCAGGCAGCAGGTGCTGCTGGGGATGCAGCAGCAGAACGCACTGACACGGGGCCCTCGAAGGAGGCCTTGCCGAATCCCTGGGGTTAGCTGCGGCTGCTGCTGCTGCTGAATCCCTGCGGCTGCTGCTGCTGAACTCGAGCTGCTGCTGCTGCCGAAGCCGTACGGCTGCTGCTGCTGCTCGGGCTGAACTCATGCGGCTGCTGCTGCTGAACATGTGCAGCTCCTGGTGCGGCTGCTGTTGCCGCAGCGCCTGCTGCAGGGGAGGCCCTGAGATGAGGTTGCTGCTGCTGTATCTGGTGGTTTTGCCGCAGCACCGAGACGGCCCCAGCCACGTCAGCAGGTTCACCCGCAGCAGGCTGCACCTCAAGGCCAGCAGCAGCAGCAGCAGCAGCAGCAGCGGCCGCTGCAGCGACAGCAGGACACAACCGGGTTCCTTGAGGAGGCGCGGCGACAGCTCCTGCAGCAGCAGCAGGCAGCGAGCGCGATGCCTTCACAGCAGGTGAGGCGCTCGAAGCTATGATTGCTGCTGCTGCAGCCGCAGCAGCAGCTTGTGTTGCTGCAGCAGAGGAAGGACCCTTCGCTTTTCCTTTTGATACTGCTCGTATTATTGCTGCTAAAGAGTTTCTGCTGCTGCTGCTGATTGGGTCGCGGTGCGTGTTGACTACTCGGCTGTGTGACAGGCCCAGGCGCCCAGTGTCCCAAGTGTACAGGCATCTAATGCTGCTGCTGCTGCTGCTGCAGCAGCTGCTGCTGCTGCCACTATGTCTCGTGCAGCACCAGGAGTTTCCGGGACGCCGGCTCCGCTATGGGGCTTCGGTGGACCCAGCGGGATGGTTCAAGACTTTGAGAGGTAGATGCTGCTGCTGCTGCACCTACCTTCGTTGCAGCTGATCTGTTCTGCCCATGCTGCAGCTGCTCATCTGTTCCCGCTCATGCTGCAGCTGCTGATATGTTTGTGTTTTTGCTGCTGCTGCTGTGGCTATTGTGACTTGTGAACTCGGTGTGTTGCCGCTGCTGCTGCAGGCTTAGTGTGGCGAGCCCCACAGCAACCGCGGCAGCAGCTGGAGCTGTGCAGCAGCAGCAGGGTCAGCAGCAGCAGCAGCAGTACGCACACCAGCTCGCGTCGCTGAATGCCATGGGCTTCTCGAATCAGGCGGAGTGTTTGTGGGCACTGCAGCAGACCGGAGGTGAGCTGCGGCCACCCTAGGCGCCCGCTGCTGCAGTTGCTGCAGCTACTGCTGCTGCCGTTGCGGATATTGCTACTGCAGCTGTTGCTGCTGCACTGACGCACGAAAGAGGCACTGCTTCCTGCTTGGGTTGTCTCGTGTCTGTTTCTTTTCACTTCTGCTGCTGTTGCTGCTGCTGCTGGCATTTGTGCAGGTAATATAAACAGAGCAATTGACTTGCTGCTAGCTCGTCACCAGTGAGGCCATCGTGATTCAGCAGCAACGGCAGCAGCAGCTGCAAGGTCTGCGGCTGCGTTGGCTGCGTCTGTTGCGGCTACTGCAGCGGGTTCGCTGCAGCTCAGTATGCATTGACAAGGGGGCCCTCTTGCTTGCTGAGGCCCTCAGCGGGCCCCCCCGCCTTTCTCGGGGCCACGGTGCTGTGCAGCCTAGCTGCTGCAGCAGCAGCCGGCTGCTGCAGCACAGCTACAGCTACTTTATTGTCTGCAGCACGAATATGGCCAGCAGCAGCAACGGCGGCGACTCAGCTGTCTTTGCCGCACGAACGGGGTCGCTCCTGCTGCTGCAGCAGCGATTCCGTCCCCGGCTTTCTGCTGCTGCATGCAGCAGCAGAAGGACGAGTGCCGCTGCACGCAGCAGCACCCGCAGCTACTCGCGGTGCAAGTCTTCATTGTTCAAAGCATCTGCTGCTGCAGCAGCAGCTCTTGCGGCCACAGCTGCTGCAGCTTCTGTGGCTCGAAATTTTTCCTCTGAGGGAGGCGTTTGCATTGTGGGGTGTACGTACACTTCATTTATTGTCCGGACCTTAACTGCAAGAGAGTGGAGCTGTTGGCTTTGGCACTGTTTAGGTTTGCATAGCAGCAGCAGCAGCAGCAGCACTTAGCAGCAGCAACAAAGAAAGGTAGCACAGCAGCAGCCTTGCAGGGGGTTTGTGGCCTGGGTGATCAAAAACTCGTGGGGCTGAAACACGTTCTGCTGCTGCTGGTTGCTGCTGCGCCTTGCTGCTGCTGTTGTTTGCTGGCACTGTTTGCTGCTGCTCTTTGCTGCTGCAGTTTGCTACTAGGGCTGCCATAAACTAGAGAGGAAGAAAGGGCCCACTAGGCCTGACGGACACATAGGGGCTTCCGTCTATTGCAAACGGGACGCGGAGCAGCAGCGGCTGCCACTGCAGTTGGTGCTGCAGCTGCTGCTGCGGATGCTGCTGCAGTCGTTACTGCAGCTGCTGCCGCCGCGGCAGCTGCAGTCGCTACTGCAGCTGCTGCAGCTGCTGCCGTCGCTGCTGCAGCTGCTGCTGCAGCTGCCACTGCAGCAGGTGCTGCAGTCGGTGCGCGGCTGGTGCAGCAGCTGCTGCTGCTGCTGCTTGCGATGTGGTGGCAAGGCTTGCTGCAGCAAACAAGAGATCCCTAAGCGATAGTGGCTGGGCTTTACACCTGCTGCAGCAGCTGCAGCAGCTGCAGCAGCAGCTGTTAAGTGAAAGGAATCCTTTGGGTCCTTGGCTATCTGCACTGTTGGCCCCGGACGACCTCTCGCTGCAGTGCGCTGCTGCTGCAGCTGTGTGCTGCTGCTGGAAGAGGAAGCAACAGTAGCTGCTGCTGCTGCTGTTGCTGCACTGTGCGCGTGTTCCTGCATGGGTGAAAAGCAGACTAGAAGACGTTATCTCCGCTCATTTCCTGCGGGTGCAGGTGCTGCTGCTGCTGTTTCTGCTGCTGCTGCTGCTGCTGCTGCTGCTGCTGCTGCTTGTCGGCGCTGGGCGTGTTGTGTATGTGTTTGCTGAGCACTTTGTTGAGGTCGAACATGGAGAGCTCGCTCTTCTGCAGCAGCGGCAGCAGCCGCTCGTCAGCCACAACTATTCGTTTGTTTTCTTTTTTTTGAAGTCCTTTTTCTTTTATATAAGACCAAATGAACTTTGTCACTTCCACCCGAGACGCCTGCGGCCGCCCCATGAACTCCGCAAGAGGCGCCCCCAAGTCGCATAGCTTGTGCAGCCCCGTGGTCTTGCGCGGGGGCTTGGGCGCGTTGCTGTGGTTGCCGATCACCACAGTGGCCTCATTGCTGCTGCTGCTGCTGCTGCTGCTGCTGCTGCTGCTGTTGGTCGGGGGCGACGCGGCGGCGTTGAGGGGCTCCTCCACGAAGCCGTGGGGCCCCAGGGGCCCCACAGAGAAGAAACGTTTCACGGAGCATAATGGGGGGCCCCTGGCCACGCACGCAGGGAAGCCTCGCGCAGCAGCAGCCGCTGACGCTGTTGCTGCCGACGCTGCTGCTGCTGCTGCTGCTGCGAAGGGCCCTGACTGGGTGCGCAGCTGCAGGCAATCGCGTGCGTGGTGAGCCCAGAGGCCCAGGACACGGCCTGAGGGGATATGCATGGTGAGCAGCTGAAACGAAGAGCAGCGGCAGCGCCCTTGCCCGTCAGCCTGGCTGCAGTCTATGGTGGGGGTTGCCTGGAGATGACTCTCTAAAATGCTTTCTGAGAGAAAGAGATAACTCACAAAGACACACAGAAACTCGACGCAAAGGCCCCTACGCACAGCTTCCAAGTCCGCAACTCGTGATGGACTGTTGCTGTTGCTGCTGCATACGTGGCTTCTGTCCGCGCCGCCGTTCAACTTTTCGTCCCTAATCCGTCCAATTTAGACAATAAGCACTTGACTGAAAAAGTGATGTGCAAGAACTGGCAAGAAGCAGCCAGTCGGGGCCCCTGGCGCCTGGTCAGGCTTCGCTGGTGCTGCTGCTGTTGCTGCTTCTTCTGTTGCCGCTGCCGACAGCATGCTTTGTGGACTGCGGATTACCGATAGTATTGTTCTCCTTATTTTTGTCTTCGCATTAAAAAATTAAATTTCTATGAAATAGCAAAAACTGCTGCAGCTGGCCGTTGCCCGTGGGTGCTGTAACAGTTGCAGCGAAGACAGCACACAGTGGTGATTACTTGAAGGGGGCTCAACTTGTGGCTGAAGCTCGCAACTTTCACATTAAATAGACTGCGTACCTCGCAATTTTTAATCTTAGAATCAATGCAAAATCAAATCCAAACTAAGCCCAAGGTAGCGGTGACTGTTGAGGTGGCGAATCAACTGCGCCGGTCATGTAAGGTCTTGTGCTTCTCTAGAAGTTAATATGCAGTGCTCCTCTTTTGGTTCGTTGGTTATGTATCCCTCAGTCAAGGGAGTTGTATTTGCGCAAACCCCTGTGATCTTAATGATTCGCACATGCTCCAATACCTATTTACACGCTGCAAATATCTGCACATATACGACTACGCGAGCTTACTTGTATGTATGCTTTTTATGAAATAGTTGAAAGCATTTCTGATGGGCTTGGCTGGATTTACGATCAAATGGAGTGGGCTTGGCGGGAATTACCATCAAATCGAGGGCGAACAGGCACTCGCATGGGCCAGCTCAGTCGACAGAGGAATACCCACAGTGACAAACTAATTCTGTGGAAGGTAAAGAAAGAAACCTGGTTGGTAGACAAACAAATGGACGACAAACAGGCAAACGAAGAAAACAGTACAAATTCTGAGGCCCCACGGTGGCCTGGAGCTGTAGCTGCAGTCAAACGCTTACTGAGAAGCAGCATACACACTCTATTCTTGAATGCTTTTTGCGCTTTTAGTGGTATGTAGGGGTACTGGAAGCGCCTGCAACCCCTTTTCAAAGAATCAGCATCCCATGCGCTCGGTAAAAGATGCCAATTGTGCGTCTATATGAGACTGCGTGGCCAGGCCTCACCCCAGGTACTGAATTGTTTTGCACCTTTCAAGCCTGAATGGGTTGGTGATTGGTTATATTTATAATCACTGCGTTTACTGGTTGCTGCTGGGTCCGAGAACTCTAGCCAGGGTTTTAACTCAACCGCTAAAAAAGAACTTTTCGTGCTACGCGGCACGATGGCAAAGAACACCTGAACGCCTTGTCTGCATCCTGCACAATAAGTGGACTCCACTCCAGCGAACTCCCTAGACAGGAACGTAAAGCTGCATCTTTTCCAATGCCAAACTGCCAATGATTGCAACGGAGTGCTGCAAAGGGAGGTCTCACTGCGCACATCTTGGGCACGCAAATTGTGAAGCCATCAAGGCCGTTGGCAGTGCCATTCTCATGCTGCAGTGTGCTGCCGTTAAGAGTAGGCTGGTATAGGCTGCTGTGGTGTGGAAGCTGTTTGCAAGGAAAGTTCGCAAAACGTGGCAAAGCCCGATCAGCTTTAGCCTGCAACATCTAACAGCGATCTTTAAGGAACTGGTGCACGTTGAATCTGGATACACTTCTTGCAAAGTCCGCTCTTTCTTGATTCTTTATAGGAACTCTTTTACCCTGAGGTTTTTGCTGAAACATCGACGAAGAGGGGCTCTAGCCCACACTACTAGGTGAGGGGGCCTACTGCATCAAGAAGCATTCAGTACGTTCCATTTACTAAAAAGCCTACAACGTGGTGTACGTTTCATTCGTTTGTCGTCGCCTTTGAAAGGTAGCGAGAACAAAGCAAGGAGCTGGTGAAGTTCCGGGATACACAGCTGGCTCAAGCTGCTGCTGAGGCTGTAACGACATCAGGCTACAAAAGAAAGGAGCGCGGCTGAAAGGGTACGTCGAGGACTGTTGCGCACGCGAAGAAAGCTCGGAGCTTCCCAGAGGAAGTTGAATGTGTCGGAGGAGTTAATGGTCAGATAACAAGAAGTACAAAACCGGGATCCTAGTAGTTTAGAGTAAAGACTGTGAAGCCTCTTACGGCTCGAAGGGAGAAAAGATGTGAAAGCTAAGTTGAATGCAGGAGGAAAAAGGTTGAATAAACGGGCTTACAGAATCATTTCAGATAGCAAAAGAATCGGTTAGAAGCGGAAAGCTGGCGATTCAGGCTTTTCAGCGATGTGAGAAGAAGCTGAGTCGCGTTTAGGACACCTGGGGGCTAAATGTGAAAGAAGGCACTGTCAATCGTATGGAGCGGCAAGTGCAAATCAAGGCGCGTATAGAAGAGCTCATCAACAATAGCCCCTGGAGATGAATATATCGGCACCGACGCCGCAATCACCACTCAACAGGGTTCAGCGTCCTGTAGGGCAAGTAGAGAATGCAACCCCAGGACCCATGGGCAATGATTTCAAGAGATTCGGAGGGTTACATGTATGATTGTACACCAGTGCTAGGTCAGAAGGAATAAACTAAACTTCCGCGCTTAAACATCCGATACTTTCCACGAGCCGGGGGAAAGCGGGGGCCTAAAGCGCCGCAAAGAATGTGCAGCATGTACGGAGAAGTCATATTGCGCAATTGCCACAATAGTTAGAGCAACTTAGAGACGAGGCGTTGCTCTTTGGGGAGTCTTGTTTGTAGCTAGTGTTTACAAGGCCCAGACACTGGCGCTCCATGAGGCTGCGTGTGCGCCGGAGGATGTGGAAGAGTCACTTCTATGCATCTTCAGAGTTCCTGGTTCTTTGAACAACTGCATTTCGGCATCTTATATGCAGTTCCACTGATGTTAGCTGTGTGTTATTGGTTTGCATGCAAGTCGGAGTCGGTTCTGGGCCGATAGATCGGCTGCAACCAGCTGACCAGACATCGTGCATGCGTTCTGCCGAGGAGTGCTTTTTTCGTGACCGCACAGCAAATAACGAATATTGAAGGCTTTAAATTCTTCTAGGTAAAACCAGAGAGGGAACGTGAAGCTCTTTGTCGACTGTTGAGCACGGCACCTCCGGGTGACCTGGAGCTGCCGAGTACTTTTGATGGCGGCTCATGCTGTTGCTTTCTCTGAGAAAGCATGCTAATGGCTGGTATAGCTTGGTAATGCTGTGTCGATCTCCATGCAATGCTGACGCCCTTGTGTCATGAGAACCTACGCCGAAAATGTGGTTTTGGGGGGGAGCTTCGAGCGCTTTACCGCCGAAGGACTTGACGGATATTTCTACACAAGACTTTTACTCCGCAGATCGGCTGTTGTAAGAAGGACCTACAAGCATGGCATAGTACATCCGCGGCTAAGGAGGGAAGAACCCCACGCTCTCGTCGCTGCCACTGTGTTTGCGGATTGCGCAGGAATCTGCTGGATTCACTGCCGTCGCTTGACTCCATCGATGAAAGAAACCGGGATACCACTATCGAGACTCTGCGTCAGGTGGCGGAGGTGCTCGTGTGGGGAGAACAACACAATCGGGGGTACTTCGACATCTTCTGCGAGCAGAATGTCTTATCATATTTTGTTGGCTTGGCCGAGCAACAGACGGTACCCAGTGCCGTCAAGGTGCAGCTCCTTCAGAGTCTAAGCATCATCGTGCAAAGCATTAACAAGGAAACGGCAGTTTGTAAGTTTTGAAAGCACTTCTACTATTGAGTACAAGAATCGGGCTTCCAGTTTTAGACAGGGCCAGAAACGCATGGAGGCGGCTCCTAAGTAATGCATTTCTTGAAGGGCGAAACATTATTTTTGTTGTGTACGCCTTTAGATTACATGTTCAGCAACAACTACATTAATTCTCTGCTGAGCACGAGATTCGACTTCGACGATGAAGAAGTCGTGAGTTGGTACGTGTCGTTCATCAAAAGCCTTTCGCTCCTCGTCAATCCCGCTACAATCAAGCTCTTCTTGAATGAGAGGGCAAAACACTTCCCCATCTACAGTGAATCGGTCAAGTTCTTCTTAGCAAAGGATTCTATGGTTCGGACGCATTGTCGAAATGTCACCCTGAGCCTTTTCAGAGGTACTAGATTGCACTCCTGGTTTAGGGTTTATGGTTTAGGGTTCAGAGTTTATGGTTTAGGGCGTAGAGCTCAGGGCTTAGGCTCACTGTGTTTTCTTATGTGATGTACAGTGAAATGGAATTTACACGTTGACATGCGCTGCAGCTGCTGCAGACTGCGCAAACTAGGACTAGGATTTAGCGCTAGGTTTTATTGACTTTTCTGCGAACCCTTGTTCTTTTTTCGGTTGAGGTTGTCTTTTGCGCAGTGCAGGACCCTGGGTTGCGCGCGTTTGTTGCTGAACGGCCTATTTTTTTTTCACACGTTGCCTGCTACTTGCGAGAGCTGTTGGATGATCAGTGTTCGCGCCTTGCAGCCAACCGTGGTCCCTCTTTAGATCGCAGCACCCAAGATGGAGCGCTAGAAGTGGAAGAGATGCTTTTTTATGTTCAAGATATTTTCAGCCTTGGCGCTGAGGAGTTTTCAAATCTCCTTGCAGAGCGCCTGCTTGTGCACTGCTACCTTCCACTGATAGGTCAGAAACCATGAAGCAAGAAACTCAAAGAAAGTGCCTCGTGTGAAACGTGGCCCATATATACGGGCTTCAGTCTCAATTGTGACTGCTGCTTCGATCTATTGGGTTTACTTGCGGGGCAGGCAGTTTTCGACATTTCGCTGTTGCCACTGCTGGCTACTATTTTGTCTTACGTTTTCGGCATCTCGAAAACTTACTGCGACAGTTGACTAATACTTTCTTTTCCTCGCAGGTATGCTAAGGTCGCATGATGACGCCGAAAATGAAGGGAAGAAGTGGAGTCTCGATGAAGCAGGGACAGGCGCAAGTGAAACGCCTGATGAAGGCGTAGAATTTTCTGGCAGCAGTGACGAACCTTCGCGTATTGGTTCCCCAGTGCAAACAACCGATGACGACAGTTCAGTGCATTGCGACAAACGCCTGGAGCAGGGGTGGATGTGGGGATGGACCACTCCCGATAATTTAAAGGACACAGGTAATCTCAGTGGCTCACCGTACCATTCGGGAGCCAAAGGGCAGAATTCTTCACCCAGGCGAACCGTCGATATCAGTAAATCGTGGAGGGCTCGGGCGGCAGAGGCAATGTCTAGAAGGTTAGGGGAAACAACACTGCAAGGCAAAGTGGATAGCATGCCAGCTATGACAGACGGAAGCAGTAGAGCAACTCCCTCTCAAGCTGTCGGCGAGGAGTCACATCTGCTGAATCTGTCAGGGAGCAACGCTAACCGTAACTTGGTGCAGCGCCTCATTTTGTTCTTTCTGATCCAGACATTCAATGTGCGCCTTATGGGGAGCAGTGTTTGTCAGTACACCAAGGACGCTTGTGTCAGCAGCTTTGCAGCAGGTTTGTCCAAACTTCTTTCAGTGGTTTGCTTTGCTACTTTCCGTTGCGAATTATGCAGTGCATTCAGAGTGAAAAGCTGCTTCGCCCACTTGTAGCCTGCCTGCTCCTTCGATGGGTGCCAAAGCCGCTGTACGTCCTGCTAATGGCCAAGGCACCACCTACTTCGGAGGCCTACAACAATTTGCGAAATCCCACTCAGTGTGCTGGTCACATTGATTGTTTCCTCCCAACTCAAGAACAGTCCATTAGCGATGATGCTAAAGGAGAAAGGTCTAAGATTGAAGTGCAGGGTGAGGACACAAACCTATTTACTTCAAGCAGCCAGGCAACCAGCGAGGCATCCTCACCAGCCTCGCGTGACAGCGGTGTGGAGTTGTGTACGCTTTCGCTTGGAGATCGGCTTAAACTTCTGAAGAGCTCAATGCACGCTTTGGATGAGCTTGACCGGACTGAAGGATTAAGCAACGAGGAAGAATTGTGTCATCAGAACGAGGATCGCCAACATTGTGGTGTCAGCCACGTTGTGGAATCTGTCAGTACGGCGAAGGATGAACCCCGCAGCAGGTGGTGTTCCAATCTTATTCAACAGCATTTGCTGACACTGCTCGACGGTTGCGAGTTCGCAAAGAAGCAGTGCGATGTTTGCTTTCTAGTGCTTGGTATTTTACTGCAATGCATTACGCGCAGTCCATGTACTACAGCGGTACGTTGAGTGGAGAATTCGCTTTTACAGCTTCAGCCACTCCGAGCTAGTTCAGAGCTAGTGATAAAACACGACAGCTGCAAGCATAAGACCTAGCTGAACGGTAGTGGGCAGCTTTGATCAGAACACATGAGCCGTATTTACTGATGACCGTCCCCGTTTCTGACGGTGGTGGTGGCGTATCTTCGGACGTTGGTGACCTACTTACAGAGTAACTGTTGGTCGTTTATGCGGTCCTTCAGGGGATACTCATGCATGCATCCATGATACCAAGGATGGGGGCTAACGAGCTATCGCGCACACAGAAGTCGCGTACGCGGTGAGGCATCCATGTAAAACGTAGTCGTGGTGGCGACAACGACGCTTGACGGCAGGGCAAGTATTTTTCGTAGGGTTTCGTGGGTCCTCTGCGATCGCGCAGGTCGAATAGTGAACCAGAACCATCAACGCCTGATCTTCTCTTGAAAGAGAATGATAATAACCACCAAAATCAACCATTGACAAGTCCTACCTCGCTTGATAATAGTAACCTTCAAAGTAAGGATGCCCTTCGGGTCTCGACCAGCGCTCCAGTCACGTCGTCGATGTGTCTCCACCCACAGGACGAGGAGAAAGGTTCGCATGGGGAAAGTGAACGCATAGATGTCGGCAAAATGAGCTGGCATTTCACGGCACAGATGCTTGATGCCATTCATGCTCATCTAGCAAACCCCCTATTGCGCCCAATCACACTCAGGTGCGCCGACAAGCCTTCAAATAATCCGCCCTACGGAACTTAGAGAAGCCCTACGCCTGGTGAACTGCCATTTCCAATGGCAGTGCTAGCAGACGCGGATGGCACGTCCTGCTATTTTAATGCGCTAGCTGATGTCCGTGCACGAGTGCTTTGCGGCAATGATCTGGTCTTCAGAGTTGTTCTTTCAGTACTTACCACTCTTATAACAGAGCACATTCTGAAGGTTCAGAACGTGGAGTACAAAACCAGGTGCTTGGAGATGCTCGTCGACCGAGCGCTGAAGTTGAGGCATGCAGCAGCCGTGGCTACAAAACTCTGTCTCTCTGCTCTGTCGGACGGTCACACGATCGACGTTTTCTGGGTGCTTTCCTTTCACTCCTCTGCTCCCCTCTGCATACGACGGCATAGTAGGGGCACCGCTTGAACGGCTTGCATGCAGTAAACGCTTCACAAGCTAATTCTGTCTTGTTTTCTGGGAGATAGCAAGTATGACAGTACGCGCGCCTTTTTCAGGACGAATGGGAGGTACATCGGGTGGGGTTCCTGACGGACTCTTTTTTCTCACGCGACTTCCGTATTCTTATGTCTCCCCAAAGTTCACAAGCAGGTGCGGGCAGTGGTGCCATGTACACTGTGCTGCACACACTCACTAGGTAGAGTACAGCGAGCATCCTGTATTGGACTGCAGCAGGCATGGCTAGTGCTTTTAATGTATGTGGCTGATACAGGGACTAATACATTCCCTCCCTATCTGCTAGTGGCTATGACAGATCAAGAGATTGAACGGCGGTCTATTCAGGTAATTACGTGGTGGTGGTCTGAGTAGTTTCTTCTGCATGGAAGCCAGAAAGCGCTTGTGCTTTATATTCCGTGGCCGCCGAGGCATGTGTCTATCATTCACGAGCGTATTTGTGGTTTCGGCGAAGACCTACGAACCAGTGCAAAATGAAGCAGTGAATGCTTCAGATTTGGCTTCCAATGCAGGTCTTCCTCGTTTTGAGACGCCTGCATCGAGACCTATCTACGATTTTGAATTCTATCAGGACAAGGCCCCATGATGCCGATGCCGTGGCGTGTGAAGCTTCGTCGATTCTCTATGGCATGTCTTCTGAGCCAAACCCTTTTGAAAGTGAAGATAACGGAGACCAGGTTCTTCAGGTTGAGGACTCCAAGATGTTGACACCGATGTCTACATCTAGTCAGTTTTCACAGTAACGATGACTAAGGTCATTTGCATTATTCAGTCTGGCCAACCTTCTTTCTGGTTGGGCTTTTCACGCTATATGATTGCGAAATTGAAATGTTGCATTATCGTTTTCAATTGATTTCTCGGTGGCTCAGAACTGTCGTTGGAGGGACGTAATATTATTCGGTGTACCGTGGAAACATCTTCTGGACCAGTAAGTTCCATGCCACCATAGTGTAGCCTGGATTGCACGCCTGCGGTGGTCACTCTTTAAGCAGTTGCAGAGCTCGTGTCCTGGTAGCAAGAGGAGTTTTAGGTGCCCCGACTTGACGTGATGCAGGCTACCCGCTATTGTGTGCAAGATGATAAGCGACTTCTCCTCGTTTCACCTTCTTGCAGCCTTCCTGGAATTGCAGATATCAGGTACGGCACTGAATTTCTTGAACGATCGTCTATTTACTTGCTTTTCTGGGGACTTAACCGTAGCTTGGCCTGTGCGCTGTGCCATTGCGCTGAAAGCTTTGCCATGGTGCGCGCAGGACATCTCACCCCCTGAGGAATGTTGAATGTCACGTCAAGACGAACAATGCACGCTGCATGCACCTCCTGGTTCTGGATGTTTCGCCACCTGCAGACGGTCCTTCACAACTACCTTCCAGTGACTTACCAGACAACCAGCGTGCTATGCGGTATCGTACTTCCTGCTACATGCACTTGTGCTGTTGTGCTTAGTGGGCCTGTCGTCTCCTGTACGTTCCTTTCAGGCGCGAACTCTTGCCAGTACCCGTGGAATAGTAGAGTCATGGAAACATGTTTTTCTCCGTGGTAGCATGAGCGTCGCGTTCTTTCTTTTTCTGATAATTTGTGCAGTATCAGCTTGACCGCTCCCCCTATGAAAGAAGGGGTTCGTAACGAACGTCTGGCACTTTGGGAGATTCGCCTGCTTTTTCCGGATGCCTTGAGATGCAGTACCGCTCTAGTAAGTTCTGCGGCCTGTTTGAATAGTTAAATGAGCGGCTAGATACCAATTATGCATTTCCAGGCCGTTTTGGGCACCCTATATTTTCAAGACCCTATATTTTCAAGTGTGCACACGGTGCTACGCATGTACCTCTTCAGCATATCTTGCAGCAAGCAAGGGGAGTAGTACGCCGAAACCTAGCGGCTCGAATCGAGAATTTGCTTGAAGAGGTTTAGGTAAGACGCCAAAGCCACTGAAATCCCAGTTACTTTCAGAGCACATCTCGCTAGACCTCGAGAACGGTGGGGTCTTCACACTGCAGCATCGGCAGCTGTGCTTCTTCACTTCTCGCATATCCATCTATTACCATGTTGTCTTCTGTGTGAAAATGCAGAGCCGTGACTGCGAAAAATTTCCAGCTTGGCTCACTGCTTGTGCACTTGGAAATGCCAATCTGTGCTTTTGCTGCGCCGAACACATACTCTGGAAAGTGCCGGTTCAGCGCTTGCTTCTCTTCGCTGGGAAACCGATAACACAGACTTCGCGTGCCACATTCATTCCGCGCGCTGGCACAGCCAGATAACGCACAAACGCACAGATAAGTTGCTTGTGCAGCGTGACACTGAAGTCATTTCGAGTGCACAGAAATACAGGACTGTAACGGAACAAGCAACGCTGTAGCTAATGTTGCATGGCCAATACTGAAGACGCCTCGTGAGGTGCCATGCAGAAATACAAGCAACATATGTCTGTACGTTCGATCGGTTTGGATTCTTCAAGGTTGCAGACTACGTTTCGCTGTCTACTCGTCACCTGTCCCTGGTCGAAAAGGGAACACGCGGCATCGGCACAGCATCCGTGAGTACGCACGACTGCTTAGCATGGCTGAGTTGTCTGCGTCTTCTGCGTATTATAGCTTGCTACAGTTAGCACACAGCGGAGAAGCCTGGGCGTTCTTACGTCAGCTTCTGGGAAAGACAACTAGACAAGTGATTTAGAGGTGGCAATGGGTAAAGTTGAAGCATCAATAGTGTAGCCCCAGTGCAAATAGCACGTGCATGTGCAACCAGCAAAACCGAGGCCCCTAAGCAAACCAAAAGTGTTAAAGCACATCACCAACGAGCGTGCTTCCCCCGCAAAACAACCTTCTGTGAGAAAAGCGAGATGCAACTTCTACAAATTGGTATTTGCCAGCTCCGATGGCGTTGAAATTGCTACGGAAGGCACGAATCCTCCAGGCCCTGCGCCACAGCCTTCGCCTCTTCTTCAGGAACGTGTAGCACTTTACCCCATAAAAGCACGATGTCTCTAAACAAGAAGTGACGCACTGCGTCACGCGAGTCGCGCAACGGAACGAGTAGAGAATTACTTTCCATTTGGAAGTCCCAAGAAGGCAGCCAGCTGCTCTCTGTGACGGACCGACTGGACTCCCAAATGAATGTGCTCCTGAATGCCCCGTATGGGCTGCTTGGTGGATCCCTGCCCATGCTGATGCTAGATGAAGGCGCGACTATACTCTCTTGCAGAAGTCTGAGAGCAAGCAACACCAGTAGCTGGCGCGGTCGCATAGTGGGTGGCGCTGCTTCACCATTTTGAACAAAGTGCAATTTCGAGAACAAAATGATGTTCTTTTTAGAGTCCTGCATCACAGCACAGCATTGAGCCGCAAAGATGAGACATCAGAACTGTCGGCCACAGGACATGACTCACAATGCGTTGATCCTCTACCCCTGCTAATTAACGTCTGACTCATAGGAGATGAAGCATACTGCGCAGGCCAGTTAGTCCTCTTTGTGTTTGACCCCAATGAAACTAATAAACGTACCAAGACCCAAGCACTGAGGGCCTTTATTACAGCGTCGTAGATTCCGTCAATAAGCAAAAGAGGAAGCATGGGCTTCCTCCTATGTTGAAGCTCCGCATCTCCTCGTATAGCGGACTCTGCTTTGGCACTTTGTGAAGCGTCGTCAGTCGACTCCAAATCCGCTTCTGCGCAGTGCCTTACATCAAGAAGGAGGCTCGGCATTGGCATGTGAAACACAAGCTGGTGAGCAGCAAGCTGTAATATCTGTTGCTGGTTACGCACAGCTGGGTGAGTTAGCCTGAGCACGACGCGTACAAAAGGCCATAGTACAGAAGTGCAACATCTCCAGAATGGCGACGTTTCATGTGCTTCGCTCAGGTGTGAACTCAAATCTTCTGTATCCTATCTCAAGAAGCTACGACGTATCTGAATACTGTAGAAAAACAGAAAAGTGGGCAGCGCCTTACACATACAAACACGTGCGCTGAGATATCAGGCGGGCCAGGACAGCGAGTAGCTCAGCCTTCAGATCTTGAAGAAGACAGTACGACGCAAATGTGTAGGCTTGCAGAACCCAGTCTACCTTGCAACAACAATGAGACTCATATGGCGGGAGACCTCTTTGCGTTGGAGCCTGGTATGAGTAGACACGGCTCCCTTGTTCAACACAACAGTGCCGGCAGCAGCATGAAGGAGGAATGATAAAGTAGCCCGTCTCGAAGAACCGTACAGTCGCTGCAACGACTGAGCCTAAGAAGGCGCGCAAGTCAATCACAGCCTGCGAAAGGAGCAAACGCGACAGAAGTATACTGCACTGGCGGCAGCGCCCAAACGCAGGCAGCGACGTTCGTACAATTCCAGATTCCAAATGTATCTCCTTGGACAGATTCCAAATCCATCTCCTTGAACACTACATCTCTGAAGACTGGCAGCAGTATGCGGATCGTGCAAAATATTGTGTTGGAGAATCTCTGACTTACTTTATCGGGCCCCTGAGCTTCCCAGTGTGGGCGCGTTAGCTTGGCCTCGAAAAATGAACAACGCGCCGCCAGCAAAGCGCGATGAGACGGTATTTCGCAGCCACCCGCGCAAAGAAGAGTCACATCGGAAAACTGTGAATGTAAACCGGGAACGTCACAGCCTCCATAATGCTTGCTCGCGGTTCCACATGTGCACAAATTGTCGTTTCTCGACTCAGGAACGGAACCGTCTTTTGCACAACTGACAAAATCATCTCCGAATACGGCGGCTTGATGCAAAACGCTCGTCTCGGACTTGTGTAAATCGCCAAGGGAATCAAAGAAAGGCTCTTCCACAACACCTGCTGCATCTGCAAGGCCTAGTAAGCGTTGGTCCCGGACATGTACCTGTTCATCATCATTCTTCTTGTCATGTGCAGGATACGTGTCCACAAATCGACACACGCGCAAAGTGTCAACAAGAAATACAATATTCACGGCTGGGATTGATCGCTGGTAGATGTTGTCCGGCAATGCAAAAGCAGACAGGGGAGCTGCTCCCCCAGCCGAAGGGAATTCGTTCAGCTGTCCATCAGCAGCAAGGGACCTGAATTCTTCAATGCCACCTTGGACAGGGGGAGTGGTCGCACCACCCAGATCGTCCCTTTCAGAGGCAGCAGCTGGGCTTCCCGAAAGAAAGGAGGCCAGAAACGAAGTGAGTGAAAGACTGTTGCGACTTGTTACTCTTCCGGAAGCACCATCAGGCTGCTGCTTAACTATGCGGTTTGCAGCCTCGGCTGGGACAACAATCAGGCCCAACGGCGAAGGAAGAGCGTCACGCACTTCTACATGCCGTGCATCTTGGCTGATGACGGCTATCAGTTCTGTAAAGCGAATCAAGAAACCACGAATAGGAACAACTGAAACCTCAGCACATTTCCGACAGTATAATAATCAAAATGTCCTAACCGACTTCGCAGCAGAAGACTTTGTATCTGCCAGTATGCTGGGTGCTTACCGTCTAAATCAGCTGAGAAAGCAATAACAGGAGCTGCTGCAGCTCCACGGCCCAGAGAGTAAATAGTAGAATCACAAAAACTCACCGCCAGTAATGGAATCAAACGCGTTTACCGGTCGCAAACGATTCGATGGTCCTGCTGACAACCTTGGGCGGGATTCCTTCACGCGCTCTGTTATACGCACACGGATAAGTATTGCTGATCCAAAACTGATTGCTTCTTCTTTTGTCTTCGGCCGTCGAACCTTCACACCAGGCTGCCACAAAATGTACCCACTGCGTTTTGCAGATTCAACGCGGGATGCGGCCAAAGCGGCTTCCTTGATAGCCTGAGAGGCAGCAGCACGCAGCGCCTCTTCAGCATCTAGGGATTCGCTCATCCCATCGGTTTCTGCAGCTGATGCAGCCTGCATTAGTCCGACGCCACATTTCCGCTGTCTTTGAGCTTGCGCTGTTGCCATTATCGTTAGCTCTGCCGTGCGTGCTGCTGTAGCCGCGAATTTCGCATCCCGTATGGTGGTTTCACCATCGTCTTCGAAGCATGTCCGGCATACGCTGCTGCTTGAATTCCCTCGAAACTGGCGGCAAATGGACTGCGCTGCCTTGTGGATCGCCTCATCTGCATCGCACAAGCAGACGTTACTATGTCTGAGCACAGTTTCCAGAGCAGTCGTCCACTGCCATCTACAAGAGCGGCAGGAGCAAGTTATTGCATTTCCTTGGTGAGCTCGCAGTGCGCCCCTACCCAGTAAGAGTCAGCTTACCGTCGATGCACTCCGCGACTGGAAAAAAAAAAGTTGGGTCGTTGTCGCAAGGGCAAAACCACCATGTACTATGTTCGTCTGGTGCTGCTTGCATTTCCGCTCCATCAAGCGCTTGCTGCCCATCATCCTGCGCTGTACTTGACTGCCCACGCGTAGCTGCGAAGTTGCCCGACGATGACGATGCCCAGTTACTCGTGGAAACATTATCTCTAGCCACAGTGTGCTGCGCGTGATCCACATCTATATTGTCAACTGAGGACATACACATCCAGGACAAGCCATGAACCGAAGAGCTGCCAATTTCCACAATACGAGCTAGGACAGGCAGTACAGTTAATAGAATTCATTCTGCACGCTATGGATGCACTGTGAGGAGTAAACAATGCAGCCAACCGTGTTTCTAGTCGTGCCTCACTTGTGTCTGTGGGAGATATATCAACCTCGTTTTGATGAGGCCGACATTCTGGAATTTGGTTACGGCTTCGTTGCGATCTGTTGCCGTTGCTCTGCTGCGGGCCCTGCATGCTTTGGCCAACAGCCCTTGTGTCGGGGGCAGATAGGGGTACGCCGCGCGGCATAGCTCCAGCTGAACTCGACTCTGCCACGAATTCCCCCTCCTCGCCTACCGCATTAGAGGGTTTTCTTCTCTCAATCGCTGGACGGTCTGAGGGGCCACGCCATCCGTACGAAGCCTCCCTTGCAACAGCCTCATCTCTTGGTAGATCGCTACTTCCGGGTGATGGAAACATAGGGGCAGTAACAGGGTTCAGTGAGCCGTTACGAACTTCTGAAGCACTCTTTGCAACCATGAGAATGCATCCACTTTTGGGATGGGCTGCTAACGAGAGGCTAATCACAGCATTTTGGGTGATCCCTCGACCAAAGCGTAGAGCTCTGACGCGGACTGCAGGGCCTTTCGTGTCCAAACAGAAGATCATTCCTGCAATGCAGGCACAGAAAAAGTTATAGTTCGCTTTGACTCTCCTGTCACTGATGTGTTGGGAAACAGACCAGCGCTGCGATGCACCAACTGGTCAATTAAGCTAATAACGCAACCGGCATGAAAAAACGAGCATCCCACCTCTTTCTTCGACTGGAGATGCAAACTTCTTGCGAGCAACAGTGAAAAAGCAGTGGCCTTCACCATCGATACAGCAGTTGTTTACTTCCCAGTTTTCCCCTTGGCAAGCGGAGAATTCTTGCAGGCGCTTTGTTGCACTTGACATGCCTGTCGATTGCTCTAATGTTGATTGCTCTGATGCGTTACACAGCTGCAGTCTCTCGTGCACACTCATCAAATACTGCCACAGTTGTGGAATTGCATTCTCTGAGGAAGGAGACCCAATATGCTCTTCTCCAGTTAAAGTTAGGTGAGTCTGTGCGCTGTTCTCACAGTCTCGTGTGACCACACCAAGTCTACCGTGGTGAAAGCTCTCTTCATGGCCCATCTCGCGGCAAAGTTGACGGACGCTGCACAATTGACGAACTGGGGAGAGGCCTCTTCTCCGCCTCACTAAAGCATTGTGGACCACAAGATGTGAGGGCGGAACTGACGCAGTTACCCCTCCAAAAGTGGTATCCGGCGAGCAATTAGCACGAATACGACTCGCAGCGGCCACTGCCAGCTTCAGTAGGTCCCCTACCACGGTAACTGTGCCTCTCAATGAGATGCGTATCAAGAACTTCTTGAGAAAAAGATATAAGTACCCATCGTGACGGTTGCTCAGTAGAAGACTCTTCTGGCGTAGCTCCTGGAGCTGTCGCTGATCATACTGGTCAAAGAAGAACCACACGCATCTGTCAGAGAGACCATAAAAATATAACAACACGAAACCATATCAAGCTAAACCGCAATGCAGAAGCTCTGCACTGGGGAACGCATCGAATGCACGGTTGCATCATGGCACTTTTGAAAAACTCGTGAGAGCTCTTCGTTGTGTTCATTGCATCTGTAACTACAGTCTGGACTAACTTGGTTGCAACCGGTTAGTAGCTGGGAGAAAACGGGTCTGTCAGTTCGGAATAGAGTTGAAAAGACATCCGCAATTCGGACTGGGAGAAGTAACTGTCCTCCTTCGGGGGGATCCTCGTCAACACATGGTTGATTCCCACAATCATCTGGAGGTGCTTGCTCCGAAGTTAACGGCCTGCCATCGTCCTCTCCGGCATTGCGATTTGCTTCCCAGTTGGCTCCCCTAACCGGTGCCCTAGTAGAGGCTCCCCGTGTGTGAGGTGTTGGGCCAGGACTCTTCGCACGGGCTGGGACAAGACGCGATATGCAGAAATATTTGTCTAGTACGTAGAGAAAGCCGTCCACATGGGCCACGACGAAGTGGCGACTAAACGCCAGCCGCGCGCTGCTGCCGTATACCTCAAAGAACCGTGGGTTTCCAGTGCTTTCATACCGACTGTAAAATCCCATCTTCTTGAATTTGAATTCCTGAAGGCCTCACCAGACGATAGGAGGATTAACTATCCTGATGGCACAGTCGGTCCTTGGGGCCCCTTAGTCATCGGTATGGACCACAAGACGCCTCAGGCAATCAGGTCGGTTAAAGTCATTGCTCTCCTTAATAACACTACACAAAACACAGTAACGTTCACCAACCATCGGAAAAGCTGTGGACGTATGGAGCACGTTGAGCAGCGGTCCGTGGTGTGAAGAATCGACTGGTCTTAAGGCCCAGTGTAAGGCTTTACCGATGCCTTCACCTCGAATCTAGCCTTTCTCTGTTAATAAAATAAGGAAACAAATTAACTGAACAATCATGAACTTGCATTTGCGTGCAACTCTTCAATGCATCGAAGGAACACCACAGCTGGGCCGCATGTCCGCTGGTCCGGTGTCCCGCGGCTTGCTGGGGCCCAGAAAACCACAGTTTCTTGAGAAGAAGTAATATGATTTTTGGGGAACTTCACGTTCTATTCAACAGTCGGCTGAAATGTAGCCTATATACTGCAGCGCGTTGCTGCTTGCTGCCGAGAAGCGTCCACGATTAGTCAGCAGCGGGTTGACAGAGCAGCAGCCTCACGCATAGCCGCCGACCGTCACACACAACATTTCGTTATATACTTTTTGTTAGAAGTCATGATTCAATGGTCAGCGAATGCGTATTGCACTGCGCCGCAAGCCATCAACGTAATGTGGCTGTCTGCTCCAAGCGCTGTATCCATATTGCTTAGTTTGTTGCATAGCTTAGTTTTGCTTATTCCCACAGCATTGCACCGAAATTTGTATCCTTGGGCTCTGTTTCATCAGAAGCTATGTACACCAAAGATGCACTCTACCCCACTGGCGGATACGAAACTGCCCCTACTAAAATTTTTGGAAGCCGGCATGGTTCAAGCGGAACACACTGTTAAACGCTGAAGGTCAACCTTTCTTCGACGTATGGAAAATTAAATTTGGACAATGTGCTGCTCAGCGCACCCACGCTCGATTTAAGTTCTGTCTACAGCTGCTAGCCAGGCTGGAATTCGTCCCAGCCATCTTGCTTACCTGTTTCTGTTAAGAGCTCTTTGATTGACTCTGATTGCTCTACTTACAGGAAATCAATAGCATCTCTCTCCAGACCGTTGCATGCCAGGAATTGCAAGGAAGAAAAAAAACATCCATGCACAATTTTTTGATTGTGAGCAATCAAAATGGCTCACTGCAAAAAAGCCACTGCCCAGATGTTCATGCGTTTCTCTCCTTGGAGTGGAGCAGCTACAAGGCGCTACAGAGGGTTGATAGAACATGGCGCATGCTGTGACTTGAAAGGTGCGTGGCGCAAATAAAGAGACAAAAAAATCAGTGCTGAAGTACTTCACACGCTGGCGAGTAACGGAACGTCAAAACAGCGGAACGCAGCATCTCATCTGAAGGCATTCCTGTGCTCAACAGAATTATTAAGATAGCGGCTCTTGATTGCAGTCCTAAGAGACGCTATCTTCATGTTCAGAATCATAGGAGGCAGAGTTACTGCGTGCATTGCGGATACTATAAATGGCACGCATGCGCTGTAAGAGGCGGGAGTCAGGCACAAGAGTCTCCGCCAACGGCTTCGCACTTTGACGGGATTGGTTCTGAGCATAGAACAAAGGCGCAAGTGAAAAGCTGCTGCGAAATAGCAAACAAGATAACTCACATATCTACCATCAGCGGAAAATGCAATGGTTCGTCTGCCATACAAACCGAACATATGTTAGCGGGTACACACACTCCCTAAATCGGTGAACCCTGATGTTTCAGTAACGTTGGGAGGTGGCTTCAGAATCCTAGGATGCCATTATATCAAATCAAGTAATAAAATGCATGGAAGCTTCAACGGTGCCAATACCTCTCTTGAAAGAAGCGAGCTAGTTAAGAGGCGGTTCGTCGACTCCAGGATTTCGCGGTATTTGTTCTGGTCACGTTCAATGACCTTCTTTGGTAGCTCTATTGGGGCGCCTGCAGAACCAAGGAGGGGCCATATGCCTAGCAAATGTTGTCAAATACTGCTTCTCGTTTTTAGTACAAAGCTATCTTCAATTTTAAAGCATATGCCTATTTTAAGAAAATAGGCAGGTAATCAGCTACCGCAACACTAGTATTTGTCCTTTGTACAGCTTTTGGGCCGCGTAACTGATGATGAGCTCTAAACAGAGCAATGAAAGTTCCGCAGTGCATGCTACGTTAATGATGCGATAGAGCACCGACCTGTGGCTGTCCTATACTTCTTTGAAAGCGCGGCCTCCCCGGTGCTAATTATATTTTCAAGCAGCTGCCGTGTCGGTCGCACTGCCGTGGCCCAACTACATGCTAACGAGACTGCATTCCCGGTGGTGTGTAGCGACCGGATTACCATCCTCAGGGGCCTGCAAAAAGCGTCACAACGCTGCATTAAATTGGCGGATCTTCGCACGAGCTGAAATGTTGCCTTAACTAAATGTGTAGAGGCATGAGTTCGAGTCACCCACTTAAGATGCCGCAGGCTGTACACGCCAGGCTCCAAAGTGAATTCTCCCTTCAAACGTTCCAATTCGCATGATATGGCGGCCTCCTTCGGTAGTTCAGGCTCCTTGGGCTGAGCAATTTGCTTCTTAAAAAAAAAGGACTGAATTGTCACACGCTCTTCCACAACAGGAACTGGGGCCGACTCCCTTTTGGTGTATACAACTTCCAACCAAGAATAGCCATGGACCACGCGAGATTCGAACAGAACCTGACATGATCACAAATTGGAGATAATACGGTGACAGATCTTGACGTAAACGATCTTTGCAATGGCGCGTTCTTCTACAACCGAGCTGACAGGCAATGAAATTATGCTGCGCCAGCGGGTTATCTCACCAGCACTTCTACTCCTGTCACTCCAATGTCCACAACTGCATCGCCCTTCCACAGAGGATGCGCAACACGGGTTGGTCTGCAAATTGCTTTCAGCTTTTCTGTTTTAGGAGGGGGCGCAGCTGGCTTCGCCTGTTGAGGCTGTGGAGCTTTGAAGCCAGAAAATTTTAGGAATGGGTTCATCATGGCTCGCTGTTCTGCCTCTGTTGAAGGCTTTTTCCCTTCCGCACCTCCATGGCTCTTTGACGTTGCGTTCGAGGCTTCTACTGATAACGCTCCCCAGGTATACAGGAAAGGAGATTTTTGTTGAAGGCACACGACGACAAATCGCTTTCCAACAGCAACCTTGGAAACTACATGGGGGTTCGTTGGTGTTGCGGGAAGAGCAACAAATGTTGGCATATCTCTTGATTTTTTATCTTCTATCCCTTGTCCTAACTGGCCACTATCGTTGGAACCCCATGCAAACACACCGGCGGCTCCAGCTGTCCGTAGCACGTTGAATCCGGAAGAGCAGCATATCTGCAAAACAACATGCAAAACCACCTACGAGTAGAATCTTGGTGGTGAGAACGCAAAAAAGCGTCCAATTCTGCAGACAAGTGCTCAGAGTTGAGTCAAATACCTGAAGCGCCTCTTGGGCAGAGTCGATCGGAACCTCACGCGGAGTGTACGAATGCGAATCGGGCGTCAGGGTAGGAAGACGAACAAAGTGAGCTGCTCCCCACATCAGCGCCTTCCCGTCGGAACATACCGCTCCCGATTGTCGAGGTCCTGCAACTATGCTAAGCAGTGCAGAAGGAGAAGAGATCAAAACGCATCGGCTTTTATTCAGCGCAGTGAAAACTACCTCCGCATGCAAGCTCCTCATTGGTTTCAGCTGTAACATTTGCGCGGCTATGTGGTCTTACCTTTTCAGTCTAATGGCGTTGTTGCGGATGGTGGGAATAAGTGTTGGCTGCCTAACCCACATAAGTCTGTGACCTAGGCCGCACTGTCCATCGGTATTGTCACCCCACGCGAAGGCCATGCCTTCGTTGGTCAGTGCAAGCGAGTGATCCAAGCCAGCTGCAACTGAACAGACTGTGTGGGTATAGTCCACTTCCTGGACGAGCTGCTGAATTAAACGGCCTGCAGTAGGTGCATGACAAGGCAGTGTCCCACCTCCCTGCGCCTGTATTTGAACCTACCTTCGAAAGAAAGGGCTGTGCAACACGCACACGCGTCCACTCGGCTCAATAATTTGGGCCGAAAGAAGAACTCACCGGTCTGTAGATCCATTGTGTCTCTGAATACCCGATCCACAAACTTCAAGGGACCAACGCATGTCATTCCTTGTTCTCTGGGACTTTGCTTTTCGCCAAGTTGTCCTCTATCTCCCCAACCCCATGCATACACACTAGGCACAAGGTTGAAATCCTGCCAACTTCCACCCTTGATAGCTGCGCGAACGCGTGTCGCAAAGTTGCCGGACGCAGGCTGTCTCACTGCCAGAAGCACTACACTGTGGTGGCCGCCTATGGCCAGGTCGAGGAACTGCAAAGAAGCAAAGCATAAGACTAATTCGAGCAAAAGCTTTTCGTCACCCACACACGGAGCGTAATATTCATCATCCATATATAGAGCACAATCTCCACAATGCAACAATTCGATGAGTCATGTGCTCTGCAGCCTCGTCTCCTTGAGCTACGCTGTTGACAAGATACAAAGACAAATCATGACCTACCATAACTGGGGCCATTTGACTGGCTTCTGCTACGTAACTATCTTGCTGAAAGCTTGTAGTTCCAGCAGTCCGCACCAACAAATCCTGAAGCGGCTGGGCCCACGTCCGCGGATATATCGCCCGGCAGTCGCAGTTTGTATGCAACCCAATTGGGTAAGCGTACTGGTACTCCTGTCGCATTCTCTCGACTCGGAATACCCCTTGGACACGAAGCAGATGAGGCCGCAATAGCTCAAAAGCAACAAGCTCACGCCTCTCAACCACTGAATCTGCTTTCTACACCATACAGACCCGCATGTTCATACCGTACAAAGGCATTGTCGGCAACCACAAGACAAAATGGAACTCTGAACAGCAGAACTGAAGCGCTGGCAGCATGCACAAG